GGGGGGGGGGGGGGGGGAGGGGTTATGTCGGCCCCGGTGCTGAATCTGCCCCCTCCCTTGGAAATTAATCACGCTGTTACCCTGAACGCCAACCTCTTAACGTCACTGCATACAAAATTCCAGAGAACCAGAGACTGCTGGGCCCTGAACCTCCGATCGGTTCCCGCAACAGAACCCTACCAGAGATGCTCGGGCGGAGGTTCACAGCCACGGGGCCAGCAACACTCGGGGTGGGTGGGGCACGCTTGGGACCGGACGGCTACCAGTTGCCACGAGGCGGCCGAGGCCACCACTGAGGGCCGAGAGCAGGTCTCCCCGGAGATGGTCCTCCCTTCCAAGGCAGGACGCGTCTAAAGGGGGTCTCCTGTCTTTCGCTTCCCTCGTGGGCTGAAAAGGAAACAGGAGCGGCCATCCCAACGGCGAGCCAGTTTTACCATCCTGAGGCAGGTTTAGAAGCCACCGGCTCAGCAAGGGGCCAGGCCCCTGCAGTGCTCAGGCCAAAGGGCCTCCTGGATGGCTAATCGCTCCACTGCCACCTGCGAGCCACGCCCCACTTTTGAATGGCAGCGGCCCCCTCCTTCGCCTGCCCCCTTTGGTCGGCATGGCAGAAACTGCAACCCACCCACCCCACTTCATCCCTGCCTGCCCAGCTGGTGTGGCAGAAACGCAGCAGCAGCCCTGGGAGAGATCAGCAGACCACAGCGGGTCAGGCCAGACTCCAAAGGGAAGCGGGGGGAGGCGGGCGCAGAGGGCAGCTCAGCTCCGGGAGAACTCAAGGGTGCCAGAGGGCGACCAGATGCACTTTGGATCCTGCGCTTTGGGCATCAGTTGGTTCCCTCTCACCCAGCAAAGCATCCCGTTCTCTCTCTCACACGCACACACACGACACACACAACACACACTCATTCCCTCCCGCTTATTGCTGGGACAGTGATCCCAAGGAAGGCACAGAGGAAAAGCTTCCGCTCTCCGGGTGGAAGGAGGGGACGGCAGGGGGATCGGTTATTGCAGAGCAGCTCCCGGGATCCGCTCGGGAAAACAGCCCATCCGAAGAGCTGCCTGGGGAAGCCTGCGCAGCAGGGGGTGGTTGCAAAGGCACCTGGCGCTGAACCGCTGGGATCGGGAAGAAAGTCCTTGGCGAAAGGCACTTTGCCAGGGAAAGCTGTGGGCAGCCTCATCCCCCAGGGTCCGTCACGAGCACCAACCCCTTTCGTAAAACAGTCCTGCACCTGAAGCTCTTTCGCTGAGGGGCAGCTAAAACCTCCCCTTGGACTAAGCCGTTGCCCCCTGGAGCCCCCACCCTTTGGGGCCTTGCTGCCGTGGGAGGCCCACGTCCCTCCGCAGAGGCCCCAGCCCTTCTGCCAAACGCAGAGGCTCTGCCAAAGCAGCGTCTGCAGCACCTTGCCAGAGGGGCCAACCAGACCACAGAGGAAATTCCCACCTGCAGTTTTTGCCCTCCAGCCCCTTGGAAACAAGGCAAAAACGAGACCCGGGGAGGGAAGTGGGGAGATCAGGACCTCTCCCACCCCCACGATGAGGGCTGCCAGGAGGAGCAGCAGGGCCAGGCTTCTGTCCCTCTGGCCGGAGGGCACCGCTAATTCATACAATACAGGTCGGGCCTTTATGGATCGCTGCTGTTCTAGCAGGCCCATGGAAAAACACTGCAGCGCTCTGCCCTCTCCCCCTGGGGACCCTCCCCAGGCACCTCCGACCCCAGGGAGGAGGAAAAAACCCACGACAAGGAACGCCAGCCCAGGCAGAAAGCAGGTCGGGAGGCAATGGCGTGAGCAAGAGGCGCCCGCACCAACCTGCCTGCACAGCTCTCTGGGTGGCAGATGCGTTAGGAAGGGAACTCTAGCCACGCCTGCTCAATTGGAAGGGTCCCCGCCTGGCTTGTCACGGGACCAGGACGCCGATGGAAGCCAAGCCGAGATGGAGCGAGGGACAACGGGCGAGGGCCCGGAGAATTCCTTTACTGTCCCAGAAGAGGCCCCTCCCCGTTTCCATGCTGCCCTTGCTGCCCTTCCACAGGCGGTGCTGGAAGGGCTACTGCCCACCATTGTAGGCGTAATCGGCCTTGTTGTGCATGATCAGCTTGTTGTCCACAAAGTAGAAGCTGTCCGAGCGAGTCTCGTAGGGGTTCTCGACCATCAAACGTACTGTACAGACAGAAGAGAGGAGAACGGTCAGCCTCAGCCCAGAAACGCCCCCCCCCCCCCCCC